AAAAAATCACGTAAGTGTCACGCGAAAATCTTACTGTCATCAGCATTACACTTAATTAAGTGAACAACACAACGTCCTGGTCCATCACGTGACCCTCCTAGTAGTCACGCAACACTACTCCTGATCCGACCTGATATGACGCTAAGGGGTTACGTGACAAGCTAAACCAACTACTGCAAGAGAAGTCACTGGTTCAAACGCTGTTATACCTGATACTCATTGCCTTGTTTTAGAGTTTCTTCTTGCTGCTCAACAAACTTAGCGTTCAATGTTTGGGCGTCTTCTCTCAGTTCTTGAATTGTGGAAGTCAGTTCGTCCTTTTCATCCTTCCACTAGACATAAAAAGACAACAGAATAAATGATGCGATTTCATTTAATAACTTAATTGTCAAACTATCCGCGAGTAACATGTACAAAAGACAAACCTGTTTCTTGTGATTCTCCAGCTCTTTCTTCGCCTTTAACGCGACTTGTTTGAACTTGTTCATTTTATCATCTTTCTCTTTATTTTCTTTCTCCAATGCATCTGTACAATGTAAAGAAACGACAAGGTAAGTGAGGTAAACGATACTGGACGTAGAAGTTTGAGCTGCAATTCAAGACAAGCTAATAATGAAACCAGTATGTGTCCAGTGAAGAAAACTATCCCAACCAAAAAGTTGCATCTTCGACTGATCACTGATGGGAAAGCGTGGAAAATCGCCACAGAAAGCGCGGTAAAATGGCCTACGCAACAGGTGTTACATCTGATCGGCTGAAAGAAAAGGGACCCTTTTCTGTTTGGATAAATCTAAAGAAAAATAGTTAAGCCAGTCAGAGCACAATGCCCACTCAAAACCTAAGTCATTAGGAAAGAAACTCCTTCCCACTGCGCGAAATTTCTCGATATTTTCCTATTCATTTTCCTTATTTCACTCATCAACATTTGATTACCCATACTTATAACAACTTCATAACTCACCTCTAGCCTCCGCGATGGTTTCCAGTTCTTTTTGTAGTTCCTCTATCCTGTTTGTAAACTCATAGACTTCTCGAGCGCCTGATTCCATCTCGCTACTCAAATTGGACATGGCATTTTGCACAGACTCCACTTCTGTTCGCTTTTCGCTCAGCTGAACCTCAAGATTTTTCACCTCCATTGCTTTCGCTTCGAGGGCTGCGTTCAGTGATTGAATACTCGTTTCAAGGGACGAGATTCGCGCAGCGTTTTCCTCCATTGCTTCTTTATATTTCTGAAGTTCTTCGTCTTTGTATTCAATCGTTTGATTCTTATCGGAAATTTCATTTTGCAATTTGCTCAATTCCAGTTGCTGAGCTTCCATTCTTGATTCCGCGTCAGCGATACAATGTTCTTTTTCCTCATTCAACGCTCTCAGCTGCTGCACCTCTTCTTCTTTCAAAAGAATATCTTTATCTATAGAAGCAGTTTGCTGTTCAAACGACTCCAGCTTTTTCTTCAATTTTCGCAGCACCTCCTCCTTAGAAGCAATTGTTTCATTAAGAGAATGAACCTTGCTGCAAAGTTCTTTCCTCTCCAGCTGAAGTCTCTCATTCTCTTCTTCCCTTTCTAGGACGGACAGATTCAATTTTTCGTTAAATTCCTGTAAAGTCTTTATTTCGTTGTCCTTTGACGCGGCTTTTTCGTTAAAATCTGCTATATTTTTTGCTTGTAGCTCTACATCCTCCTTCAGCTTGTCGATGGTTTCGTCTCGTTGTTTACAAGTCTTGTCAAGCATCTCCCTCTCCTCGTTGTGACAATTAATCAATTCTTCCAGCGAACGTACTTTCGACCTCAAATCTTCCCCCACTTCTAACTGCTCCCGTAATTTCTCTTCAACATTGCTATTATTCTCTCCTTTTTCTTGCAAACTCGATTGCAGAGTTTCAACTTCGACTTTCAAATTTTGTATTTGTTTCGTGAGTTTGTCGTTCAACTCCTTTGAAGTCGCTAAGTCCATAGAGGTTCCTTCCACTTTAGCATTCAAACTGTTCACAACCTCTTGAAAGTTCTCCAACTCTTTGTCTTTTTGGTTAAGTCTTTCTTTACAATCTTCAATTTCAGCATCCTTGGCCTGAACGCTCTCGTTCCATTTTTCAACGCTCGATTTCAGGGCGGTGAATTCCTCCTCTTGTGCTGTTAATTTATCAGTGGATTTTCTTCCTTCTTGTTCTTTTTCCTCGAGTTTATCGCTCAATATTTTCACCTTTTCTTGCGATTTTAGTAAATTCTGCTTCAGTTGTTTCACAGCTTTAACAGCTTTCTTAAACTCTTCCTCTTTACTTCCCAACTTCTCGGAAACACCGTTAAAACTCTCCTTAAGCGTCTCCAGTTCATTTTTCTGCTGTTCAAGACTCGCTGATAACTCAGTTATTCGATTATCCTTCTCTTCCAAATTCTTGTTCAAACTCTCGATAGTCAAGGCTAGCTCTTCCTTCTCGCTGCTCAATCCCTGTAAGTTCTCACTCAGTTGGCCCACAGACTGACTCATGGTCTCCTTTTCCACATGAAAGACGTTCAATCTCTCTCTCAATTCCGCAAGTTCTTTATCCTTTGACACAAGAGATTCTTTTAGCGCGTTAAGTTCGGAGTTCAGTTTTTCCGCTTCTTTCTTGCTTTCTTCAAGTTCACACAATGCCTCAGTAAGTTCGCTTCCTTTTTCCTCAAAAGATGTATTCAGTGTACTGACCGTTTCCTTCAAGTTTTGATTATCCTGCCAGGAAACAAACAAAAATTAGAAAAGCAGAGAAAGTTTAGAAACAGCTTTTTTAACGTCGCAAGGGCAAAAATAGTAAGCCAATTTCATTTGGAAAGAAACGTCGCCCTTTCTTTGAGAAGCTTCAGTTGTTTATCAGTTACAGCAAAAGATAGGCTGTCGACTCTGTGACTCTTGGACACAAGATTCCTTACACGATCACCCCTCTCCGATTCACATGTACTGTATGATGTCAAACAAGAGACCATGATCGTCTCTTGTGTCACTGTAGTATTTTCAGAGTCCTTATCTTCCTTCAATGACGCTTCTGCTTATAAATTATTGGTTTGAAAGTATCACCATGCAATGTTCTCATATTCTGTTTAAATTTTCACATACAAATTCCCTTTCAAATAAAAGCACAGCAATTTTTTGAACCAAAAAAAATACAAATACCTTACTTCCTTCCTGGAAACACATTCCTTTAATTTTACGTTGTTAATTTTTCATTTTCGTCTATTGCGTGACTCAAAAGACGTTCGTTACGTGATTCATTATGCTTCCACACCTGTAGTCTGTACAGATTCCTTTAGCTTTTCATTATTAATATTCATTTTCGTGTTCCATGACACACGTCTGTTGCGTGACGCATTATGCTTTAAAATCTGTAGTCTGTACAAACATTCCTTTAATTTTTCACTGTTTATTTTCATTTTCGTGTTCCGTGACATGCGTAAGTTGCGTGACTCACCTGCTGTAAGCCGGTATTAATTTCTTGGAGTTCAGAAAGCTGTTGATAATGTTGCGATTCAGTGGACAGTTGACCAGATTGGATTTCCGCTAGTCTTCCAGATAAATCCT